ATGCAGGGCTCGATCCCAGGACCCTGGGATCATGACCCGAGCCGAAGGCAGACGCCCAACGACTGAGCCACCCAGGCGCCCCGATCTATGAAATTTTAAAAATTATTAAACTAATTTTATATTATAGTTATTATAGTAAATAGATACACTTAAAATATGAAAATAACAAATTCAAAAAAGGAGTACTGTATTGAGAGGCATTATACTGTGTGTTTTTCCCTCTGCCATATAATCCCATTGCCCCCAAAATGTTTACTTTCTCTGTTTAATAATAAGCTCCAAAGAGCAAGGATTGTATTTTTCTTGTTCATGGCTCTATCCCAAGTATTTAGCAAGGTGCCCGTGCTTAGTGCTTACTCAGATTGTTTGTTCAATGAATAAGTGAATGAATAAATGAACAAATCAACAGGCAAATAAAAAGCTGGGAGACAGCAATCTGGGAAATGGTGGCTAACTACCATGTTAACATGGGAGTCCTGAAAACATTTGTGATATTACCAGAATTAACATTAGAATTAGCTTGATACAGTGAGAACTGAGCAGAGCAATAGGTAATGGACAAAAATCATGTCATATCATATATATGATACTGTATTCTTATTTGCACTCTATTTTGATGTCAGGGAGCATTTAGTTGAAATTCTCAGTCGATTATCTTTTCCTTAGTGCAGTAGAACTACGTGAAGAAATAGAACAATTACACAAATGCATTTAGCCTTTAAAAAAAACTTCTAATGCTAAGTACTTGAACATTAAATATTTAACCTTCAAAGAATAAATGTATATTTTTTTAAAGAAAAAATGTGTAAGTGATTTAAGGACCAGATGTGTCTAGGACACTTAATTAAGACAATATCATGTCTCAATTACTCTGACTTTCTCTTTTGTGAAATAATTCATTCATTATATCATAGAACTTTTTGTAATAATAGCAGCTAAACATTATAGAGTACTTTACTTATACAAGGCCCTGTGCAAGGTGCTCTACTTACCTTTAATCCTCACAACCCCGAGAGGGAGATGTTGTCTCCATTTACAGATGGGATCACAGAGCCTTAAGGGGATCACATCCTGTGCCCAAGATCACTTAGGTAAGAAGCAACAGTTTGCTTGCTCTGCCCAACTATCTAATGATTGTTTCAGCACCCACCCTAGCTTCCACATTACATATACTTTTAAATATGCTTTACCTTCATTTATTTATGTGTAGGGCTGACTACTAAAGAAAAATCTAGTGTGTCTTTATAATTTTATTCTTGAATTTTATAACAGTACATGATACAATGTTCTTCCGACTCTCTTTTTTTGCACCTGACACTACCCACTGAGAATCATTGTGATCTTCACATGCTTTATCTTTGAATGCTCTGTCAACTTTCAGTATCCACTTTAGAGGCTGACTGGAGTCTCTTAACTTGTTTTTCAAACTTACCCTTGCCCCGAGAGTGGACAAGTTCCCCTCCCACTTAGTCTCCCCACACTGGGGAGTTGAGGGACCTCTATCGAAAACAGCATTTCTTCTGAAAACAAGAATTTGAGTCTTTTGTTTTATCATCAAAATTCACACTAACCGGGCGCCTGGGTGGCTCAGTCGTTGGGTGTCTGCCTTCGGCTCGGGTCATGATCCCGGAGTCCTGGGATCGAGCCCTGCATCGGGCTCCCTGCTCCGCAGGAGGCCTGCTTCTCCCTCTCCCACTCCCCCTGCTTGTGTTCCTGCTCTCGCTATGTCTCTCTCTGTCAAAAAAATAAATAAAATCTTTAAAAAAAAAAAAATTCACACTAACCATTTTGATTTCTACTTCATAACATATATATGTCCTATTGGAATTCTTGATTACAAACAACAAATACTGAAGGAATTTATTGGAAGGATATAAGGTAGCTCACAGAATGACAGAAGTTCTAGGGAACCAGGTTTGGGAAATAGGAATCTAGGGGGATTAGGGATTTAGAACCACAGCCATAGTTATACCACAGGAATAGCTAGGTAGAGTGCTGTTATCCACTAGTGTGCACATTTGTGCATACACATTTGTAAAATATTCTCCATTGACTAATTGAATCATTGTTAATCAGAAAAATATTAGAAAAAATGGAGTTAACCCAAATGTCCATCAATAGGGTATTGGTAAAATAAATTATATAGTAATTTAATAAGAAATTGCCACATAATGATTATATGATGTATCTGTATAATAGAATACTATATTGTATACAATTATTGTAGTAGATCTAAACGTACACTCATAGAATGGTATTCAAGATACAAAAAGTGGGAAAAAGTTACAAAATACTATGTTTACTATTATTCTATTTTTCTTTTAAAATATATCTAATTTTATATGTGTGAAAAAATTCAGGAGGAACATATACCAAACTGATGTATTTGTTATCTCTGAGCAGTTGGTTAATGGAAGACTTTGATTTATTATATCATGTTTCTGTAGTGTTTGAAATATTTTTGCCAATAACTGTAAAGTACTCTCCTAACTAGAGACTTCAATTATGATTTTCTCCCTAAATACTTCCATTACAGTAGGGCAATGACAGCCACATTCAGCTTTCTCTGCTCTATGTAAATAGATGTTCTCAGAAACAAGAATTAACACTCCTTTTCCTCACTCTCCTCACCCTCTGCCATGATAGTCTTTATTTCCTCAGTGAGTATGGCCAGCTGAATGTTTGTAGAGTAAATAAAGAACAGATGAGATTTTAAATAATTTTACATTGCGATTTTGTAATTGTAGCATTAAATATTGCCTTACCACAGGATGTGGGTCCTAATCTCACTTTTGTCTTACATGTTTATCTAACACCATCGTTATTGTCAGGTTGTCAGCAGCAGCAGCATCACTCTCATTGGTTAAAAATTCTAGTTTTAAATGTAAGCTTATTCTCTAAAAGTACTCCTTTCCCATTGGGATTCTTTCTCTAATCCTTGTATTTGTATTGTAGAAAAAATTTTAAACTTTGAGTAAAAACTTTTAGGCAAAGTTTTTAAAATATGTCTTAAAATATTTATATATATTTAAATTTGGTGTAAAATGTGATGAAACTCATTTTAGTTTGATCACTATTAATGTTTCAAATTACTGAATTAAGGTTATTGAAAACATATAAGACATTTTGGTATAACAGTTTAATCACGTTAGGAGTTAAATTCATTGCAAACTGGTATAGCCACACTGGAAAACAGGTCGGAGGTTCCTCACAAAGTTGAAAATAGAACTATCCACAATCCAGCAGTCACACTACTAGGTACTTACCCGAAGAATACAAAAAGACTGATTCAAAGGGATACATGCACCCCGATGTTTATGGCAGCATTATCAACAATAGCCAAATTATGGAAGCAGCCCAAGTGTCCATCAATTGATGAATGGATAAAGTGGTATATATACACAATGGAGTATTATTCAGCCATAAAAAGAATGAAAATCTTGCCATCTGCAACATGGTTGGAGCTAGAGAGTATTATACTAAGTGAAATAAGTCAGTCAGAGAAAGACAAATACCATATGATTTCACTCATATGTGGAATTTAAGAAACAAAACAAATGAGCAAAGGGGGAAAGAAGAGAGAGAGAGAGAGAGAGAGGCAAACCAAGAAACAGATTCTTAACTATGGAGAACAAACTGTTGGTTACCAGAGGGGAGGTGGGTGGGGGGATGGGGGAAATAGGTGACGGGGATTAAGGAGTGCACTTGTGATGAGCACTGGGTGTTGTATGGAAGTGTTGAATCACTGTATTATACACTGAAAACTAACATTACACTTACTTTAACTAACTGGAATGTAAATAAAAACTTTAGAAAAAATTTTAAAAAGTTAAATTTATGATTCTTGTTTGTTTGTTTTTAGCATTCTGTATCGGAAGAAGAGATTTCTATAGATGAAAAAAATGCCTTTGTTTAGTAAATCACACAAAAATCCAGCAGAAATTGTGAAAGGTCTAAAAGACAACTTGGCCATTTTGGAAAAGCAAGACAAAAAAACCGACAAGGTATGAACTAAAATGTTAATGTTATTATTCAAATGCGTATATTCCAAAACCAAAAACCAATGTAAAAACTTGATGAAGAATCCCAAATATGGTCTGTGATGTGCACATAAGGTCTCTATAAATACATGTAAATGGATTTCAGGTTTTATGCAATTGTTGAATCTTTTGCCTTAAACCCTTGGTTCACTATCTTGAGCCTCTGACCAAACTTGGATCCCTCTATAGACTACAGAGCTTAAAAATCTAAGGGGTTACACTGGTATAAACATTAAACTGATATGAAGGATAGAACATTTTTATTTAAAGATCACCTGATAGTTTCTATGACAGTGTAACCTCATTTTAACATTTTTTAAAGGTCCTACTAAGCAGGATTTCCTCATAGGTAAGGTTTTTTTTAGTATTTTATTCCTTCCATAGGATGTTGTATCTTATATATTCAATTTCTCTCTTAAGAGATCTATAAAATAAATATCCTTCAGTTCACAGTATCTTTCTATCCCAGTGTATAAACAATCTTGGATTCTTGTAGGGATGTAGAAATATTATTTTTTATCCTGCATCATGTAAGGGATGTAGAAGTGTATTTTTAATTCTTGTGTACTTGTAATATTGAACCAAATACTGGCTCAATTAGAAAGAAGAAATGACCTTCATAAGAGAGTAAATCTAAATGGCAAAAGACAGAAAAAAAAAACGTAAAAAATACTCATTTTCATGAGTAGTCAGGAAAAGGCCAATTAAAGCCATATACATTCATATTACACACCCACTATCTTGGCAAAAATGAAAAAGGTTGGATGAAACTAAGTGTTGGCGAGAATGGAGAGCAATGAGAACTTTCCTCCACTGTGAGGGATAAAGTATAAATGGTGTCACTGCTTTGGAAACCAGCTAGTATCATCTGTCAAAGATGAGGATGTACATGTGCTAAAACCCTGCAGTTCTACTCATAGATATAAACTCTAGAGATAATCTTGCACTTGTGTACCAGGATGCATGTACAAGCGTGTTCATATGTTACTGTTCATAATAACCCCTCAATGGAAACAACCCAAATGTCCATCAAAGGTAGAACTGATGAACTGTGGTCCAGCCATCAGTGGAATACTTGAGAGCAATGAAAATTAAAACACTGTTGCCTCCGTGCAGCTGCATGGATGGATCTCATATATATAATACTGAGTGAAAGCACCTCATAGGGTATGTGCTATGGTGAGCGCTGATCGTGTAAGACTGATGAATCACAAACCTGTACCTCTGAAACAAATAATACAGCATATGTTAAAAAAAAAGAAGAAGATAGTAGGAAGGGAAGAATGAAGGGGGGAAATCGGAGGGGGAGATGAACCATGAGAGACTATGGACTCAGAGAAACAAACTGAGGGTTTTAGAGGGGAGGGGAGTGGGGGGATGGTTTAGCCCAGTGATGGGTATTAAGCAGGGCACGTATTGCGTGGAGCACTGGGTGTTATATGCAAACAATGAATCATGGAACACTACATCAAAAACTAATGATGTACTGTATGGTGACTAACAACATAATAAAATAAAATTAAAAAAAAAAAAGGAAGCACCTCATAAAAGGTCACAGGTACAATTCCAAAAAGTTCAAAATTGGCAGAGCTACACTATATTGTTTGGGGATGCAAACACAGGTAAGAAAACTATAAAGAAAAGTGAAAAAAATGACTGTCATCAAAAACATAAAAATATTTACTTCTAGGTTGAAAAGGTTGCATTCAGGTGACTTCAGGGTTTCTGAAAGTATTTTTTTTTCAAGATTTTATTTATTTATTTGACAGAGAGAGACA